CCTCCTGAGTAGCTGGGATTACAGGCACGCGCCACCATGCCCAGGTAATGTTTTGTATTTTTAGTAGAGACGGGGTTTCACCATGTTGACCAGGATGGTCTCGATCTCTGGACCTCGTGATCCACCCGCCCGGCCTCCTAAAGTGCTGGGATTACAGGCGTGAGCCACCGCGCCCTGCTGGAAAAATAAAAAAATTTTTGAAGTAGTCATGCATGGCAGCATATGCCGTTCTGTGGTCCTAGCCACTCAGGAGGCTGAGATGGGAGGATCGCTTGAGGCTGGGAGGTCAAGGCTGCAAGGAACCAGGACTGTGCCACTGCAGTCTAGCCTGGGCGACAGAGCAAGACCTTGTCTCAAAAAATAAAAAGAGGACATTAGTCCCCACCCTAAACTTTAACTTTCTTCACCATTTCCTGCAACTTCTGTCTTCTGTTTTCATGTTATCAAAGTAGACTATATTTATCTGCTACTTTAAAATCATAATTCTCTTCCATGTGTTATCTGTGAATTGACTCTACACATTGAAAATTAATATAGAATGTGTACATTATTTGAGCCATGTATATATTGTTCCAATAGAGCCAAATAATGCTACCAGTTAAATTTGCTTTCTTATGTTGCTTTTGTTTTTCTTGGAGTTTCTCCTTGCCTTTCTTTATTCTCTCATTATTTGCCTTCATTTCCTCAGTTTTCTTCTGTTCAGGCTTTTCATTTTCTTATATTTCACCATTCTTTAAATAGAACCAAAACTAATCTCTCTGTGGTTCCTCATTTGTGGGTCATTGCTTGACTTCTTCAGGATGAAACCCCTTCCTTTTCTGCCAGGCAGCCCTGCAGATGCTGCTGACCGCCTGGAGTATTTTAAGTGTATGGCACGCACTCCTCAACTGTCATGGTGTCACTGTCACCATATGGTAGACTTGTAAAGCTGGGAAGGGGAGAAGAGTCTAATAACCTTGTTTCGGGTTACCTGCTATTGTGCCATCCCCATTGTTCTCAGCAGCATTTGCTAGTGATTGACACCTAGGGCTGGCACAGGCTGGGGGCTCCGTGTGCAAAGTCTGTGGAGCCAGGAACTTGGGACAGGCTTGAGGCTGCTCATCCCCAGGACAGGAGCTGGGGGAGAGGATGCCTTTATTGTTCCATGATCTGCCTCCCGTGGGCAGAGTTCCAAGAGAAGAAAACCAGGCAGGTGCTCATCAGTCTTTTTTTTTTTTTTTTTTTTTGAGACAGAACCTTGCTGTGTTGCTCAGGCAGTGTAGTGATGCTGTCTCAGCTCACTGCAACCTCTGCCTCCGGAGTTCAAGTGATTCTCATGCCTCCGCCTCCCCAGTAGCTGGATTATAGGCATGCACCACCACACTGGGCTAGTTTTTGTTTGTTTAGTAGAGACAGGATCTCATCATGTTGGTCAGGCTGCTCTTGAATTCCTGGCCTCAGGTGATCTGCCCACCTCAGCCTCCCAAAGTGCTGGGATTACAGGCATGAGCCACTGCACCCAGTCTAATCTTGATTTGCAAGCTGTGTGCTGAGTATCTGCCCTACGCGCCTGCTTTTTTTGGGTGATAGAAAAAAAATGGGTCATTTTTTTTTCACCCTCTGTCACCCAGGCTAAAGTGCAGTGGTGCAGTTGTAGCTCACTGAAGTCTCAAGCTCCCAGGCTTAAGTGATCATCCTGCCTCAGCCTCCTGAGTAGCTGGAACTACAGATGTGTGCCACCATACCCAGTTAATTTTCATTTTTATTTTTTAGAGATGATTTTTTTATTTGTTTTGTTTTGTTTTTGAGAAAGAGTTTTACTCTTGTTGCCCTGGCTGGAGTGCAATGATGTGATCTCGGCTCCCTGCAACCTCCGCCTCCCGGGTTCAAGCGATTCTCTTGCTTCAGCCTCCCAAGTAGCTGGGATTACAGGGGCATGGCACCATGCCTGGCTAATTTTATACGTTTATATATAACAGACACTATGTTGGTCAGGCCAGTCTCGAACTCTTGACCTCAGGTGATCTGCCCCCCTTGGCCTCCCAAAGTGCTGAGATTATAGGCATGAGCCACTGGCCCCAGTGCCCCTCCTTTTTTTTTGGCCTGTCCTACTAAGTTAGGCTGTACTAATGACAGGGATTCTTATCGACCAAGGTGCTTCCTGAGGTGGAGCAGGAGACAGTCGCTGGGCCTCTAGTATGTTCTGGGTACCCATAACTTCCAGATACACTCATGTAAGTGTTCAGCTTTCAAAATCCCTTTATTTCTTATGGAGAACATCCCACTTTGTGCCCAGTTTGTCGGTATCAGAGCAAGACACTGAATGAAGGCCATCTCCTTCTCCACCCAAGTTCTTTGGGCCTGTAGGTTATCACTGTCTGTTTTTTTGTTGTTTGTTTTTTAACAAGAGCACAAATCCAATTTATTGACTTTTCATTAGTTTAAATCCTTGACCTTGAGGGGTACAGCATCACTCGGATTCTGTGTCCAATGGCCTTAGCAGGAAGGTTGCTTCAGAATTTGGCACGAACCATGCCACTGTTTCCATGGGCCCGAGTTACCTTTCCCCAGATTACTCTGGTTTTGTTTGGTTTGCCACCAGGAGTCACTGTGTTGTTCTTTGTTTTGTATACATAAACGCATCTCTTGCCCAAATAGAATTCTGTTTCATCTTGGGCATAAACACCTTCAATTTTAAGAAGAGCCGTGTGCTCCCTTTGGTTCCAGAGACCCCGCCTATAGCCGGCAAAAATAGCCTTGGACCACAGCCTTCCAGACACAGCTCCTTTTATAAGTCCTGTTCCCAGCAGGCCTCCAAATTTCAGCAGCAGACGCTTCTCTCACTGTCTGCTTTTGGAGGCCTTACCCTGATGGTCACTGAGGAAGGAGCTGGGTAGGGCCTCTGTGTTGGTCACTGGTCTCAGACCACTGAGCAGTCCTCACGGTTACTGAATATCTGTCCAGCCTGAAGATCCAGCCGCCCCTCCCTTCTCTTTATCCGGCTCCATGCAGCATCTTCAATTCCACCCCCAGGCCTTTCCCCTGCTCTCCTGCTTTTCTGTCTAGTTAGATTCGTCCCTCTGTGCCTTGAGGCTCCCTTCTCTTATGCAAGCTTTGTGTATTGCTCTAGGCCACGCTGATCCCTTTCTAACTTGATCTCCTGATAAGCCTAGTAATCAAAAACAGAATAGCAAGCTGTTGGCTCACAGCTGTAATCCCAGCACTTTGGATGGCCGAGATGGGTTGATTACTTGAGCCCAGGAATTTGAGGTCAGCCTGGTAAACATAGTGAGACCTCATTTCTACAAAAAAAAAAAAAAAATTAGCTGGGCATAGTGGCATGCACTTGTAGTACCAGCTACCCAGGAGACTGAGGTGGGAGGATTGCTTGAGCCTGGGAGGTCGAGGCTGCAGTGAGCTGTGATCAGGCCACTGCACTCCAGCCTGGGTGACCCTGTCTCTAAAAAAACAACAAAAAACAAAATAGCAAGCTGTTGAGAGCACAGGTCTTGAATTAATATAAACCCAGGTTTGAATTCTGTGTGTTATTCAGGATGAATGGGCTGCAAGTGACAGAAAGCCAGTGTGAACTCCACCATCCTTAGCAAAAAGGAATGTGTTGGCTCATATGGCCAGATCACAAACTGGGAACACGAACAGTGCCAGCGCTTTTTCTCCCCCTTTCCCTGATCCTCTGTGCGAGGCTGCTTCATTCTTACCTGGCTGTCTCTTGAGGGTGGAACCTTGGCTGTAGGCAGTCCTGGGCTTGCACTCTTAGAACCCAGCGCCATAAAGGAAGGAGCTCTTTTCCCCACCTCCAGTTAGAAAAGTCCCATTGGGCCAGCCTAGGTCACTGGCCCTTACTGTGGCCAAGGAAATATCATGTTTTACCAGAAGAAGCAGGGGGCGGGAAATAGCCTGACAAAGGAATTGTCACCACAGCTCCTTACTACATGGGTGGCTTTAGCACCTAATCCCAGAAGCCACGGTGGCTCAGGCCAGTTGTCCTGGCACTTGAGGAGGCGAGGCTATGTGTTCAAGGCCAACCTGGGCAACACAAGAGCACCTAATCCCTCTAAGCCTCAGTATCCTCAACTGTGAAGCAGATGCACAGATTAGATGAGATAGTGCAGGTAAAGTCCTAGCATTGCACACAGCTGGTGTTCAATGAGGGGGTGGGAAGTACTGAATAGAGGGGACAGGAAGACTTAGTTGACCTAGGGAAGGCCTGCCAACCTGTCTTGCCTGCCACCAGAAAATGAGATTCCCTCAAGAGCTTGCCTCCCTGTGTGGGGGTACTCTACCAGCCAGTAGGGATCATCCTTGGAATTGGCAAGAAGGGATCCCGGAAAATTATGGCAGCAACAGCAGTATTGACAGAAGACAGTCTTTGCAGTGCCTCTAAGCTGATGTTTGCCACTAGAAAAGGACTAACTAGAGCCCGGCGCGGTGGCTCACGTCTGTAATCCCAGCACTTTGGGAGGCCGAGGCGGGCAGATCATGAGGTCAGGAGTTCAAGACCAGCCTGGCTAACATAGTGAAACCCTGTCTCTACTAAAGATACAAAAAATTAGCCAGGCGTGGTAGTGGGTGCCTGTAATTTCAGCTACTCGGAAGGCTGATGCAGGAGAATCGCCTGAACCTTGGGAGAACTTTAAAGGTCACCCCTGTTCTCAAGGTTACAGTGAGCCGAGATTGTGCGATTGTACTCCAGCCTGGGTGACAGTGTGAGACTCTGTCTCAAAAAAAAAAGAAAAAGAAAAAAGAAAAGGAGTAACTGGTCCTTGTGACTGTTTTAAGCAGGCAGTAATTGCTGAGCAGGGACCAGGGCCTGAGCTCAGAACTCTGGAGAAATACAGATTTGTGGTACATGGTGCCTGTTCTTGGCACAAATGAGACGATGAACCTCACACGTCAGTCATCTTAGGAGGTGTTGGGCTGCTTGTCACTGCAGGTGTGCAAGTAATTGCAGGGACTCTGTAAAGAGGATTTGGACTTTGATAGGGAGGTGGGTGAGTTGGAAGAACCTTAAAGGTCACCCCTGTTCTCAAGGGTCTAGATGGGAGTATACAACTCCAGCCCCATTATGTCATGGCCACACTGAGTTGGCATTGAAGTGCTCCCTGCAGTGAGCTGGCAGGGCTTTGGGAAAAGCTTCCCAGAACAGGCAGCACTGGTCCTGGAAGTTTAGTGCATCTGTGAACAGCAGATGACCAGTGCTTCGTGTCAGGGACAGGCCTCCAAAGACGTGTCATGGCAGCACCCCCCTTCCTGCTGTGTCTCTCACATCACCTTGCTTCTGCTGGCTCCTCGGGTTCCACTGTAGACTGCTGATAAGAGAAATCCAGCAGCCCAACCTGACCTCATAGTGCTGGAATCAAGGGGGCAGGAGGCCCTATCTGTTTCAGTCTCTCTAAGGCACATTTCACTGGGGGCTCTGATTGGCCCAGCTCTGGTCACACGCCCATCCCATAGGCCAATCACGATGGACCCAACTATGGGATGGAGGTTAAAAGTATAAGCTCAGGAGCCCAATCATGTGGGTTTAAACCCTTAGCTGTGTGACCTTGAGCAAGTTATTGAGCCTCTTGGGCCTTAGTTTTGTCACTTGTAAAACGGGGGTTATATTTCAACCTCAAAAGGTTTCTGTGAGGATTAAATGAGATAATACATCTAAACAGGGAACAATAGTGCCTGGAATATAATATACTAAGTGCTCAACGCAGGTCCCTGCCGTCATCCATCATCATGTTTTATGCTTTTCAGCCATGATTGCACGCTTTGCCATACTCAATTTCCTCCATCATTCAGTAGGAGAGAACGCTCAGCAGTTATGCCCGTTTAGCTGTTTCCTTCCTGAATCACAGGGAAGCTAAGGTCAGGGCAGCTGAAGTCCACCTTCCCCTTGACCACAGGGCCAGACCCCAGTATTTCCAGCAAAACCCTATCCCTAGAACTCAGTTGTGTGTGTCTCCTCCTGTCCTCACATCCCCAGACCTCTTTGTGGCTAATCTCAGGAGGAGATTTTGGTGGAGGAGGAGAGAAGAGCTGACCTCTGGTTCCTTTCCAGGCACGGCTCTGTCAGCCCTGACGAGGCTGCCCGCGCGGCTCCCTTCCACCTCGACCTCTGGTTCTACTTCACGCTGCAGAACTGGGTTCTGGACTTTGGGCGCCCCATTGCCATGGTGAGTGTAAAACGGTACACAGGGCCCTTACCAGCACTGAGGGCACTTCGTGTGACTTGAATTCGCCAAGTGACCTTAGTTAGACAAGTCACTTCTCCTTTATGTCTCAGTACACTGAGAGAATAGGCCCAGATGCCTTCATATCCTTAGCTCCGTGACTTGGCCCGTCAGACCACTGCCAGCAAGTGGCGGGGCTGAAGAGTCATACTGTGCCCCGACTCTCATGGGGTGGTCCTGAACAAGTCATAGTGTAATACTGTAACCCCCTGTGGCCTGTGTCTGGAAGCAGGTGAACCAGGTTTATCCAAATCACCAAGACAGCCAAAAGGGTATGGGAAAGGAAGTGGAGCATCCCCGCATCCTTCCCCAGTACCTTGGGATAGTATTATTTTTTCTGGAGTTGAAGCACGTAGGCTGGTTTTGCATATTATATATGACTATGAGCTGTGCGTAATTTGTACTGCCATCCAGTAAAACCATCCCCTGCCCTCCAAGGCTACTTCATCCTTTAGTATACAGAGGTGGTCTCCATAGAAGAGACTGATGCTGGAAAGGCACCAGTGCCCCTTGCTTATAGTGGGAGGAAGGATGATTGATAGATTGATAGATAATTGACAGGCGATAGCTACATAATAAATAGACGAATGTGAAGAAAATTCAGTGAAGTATCACCACGTGTCATTATTTGGTAGAGGGGGCACAGTGTGACCATTCACGTTCCCCAGACCTCTCCCACCTAACTTGCTGGCAGTTGCCTGACGGGCCATAGTCAGACAGCCAAAAGATTATGAAGGCATTCGGGCCTGTTCTCTCAGTTTACTGGAAGATAAAGGGTAAGTGACTTGGCCGGGCGCGGTGGCTCACGCCTGTAATCCCAGCACTTTGGGAGGCCGAGGCGGGTGGATCACGAGGTCAAGAGATCGAGACCATCCTGGTCAACACGGTGAAACCCCGTCTCTACTACAAATACAAAAATTCAGCTGGGCATGGTGGCATGTGCCTGTAATCCCAGCTACTCAGGAGGCTGAGGCAGGAGAATTGTCTGAACCTAGGAGGCGGAGGTTGCGGTGAGCCGAGATCGCGCCATTGCACTCCAGCCTGGGTAACAAGAGCGAAACTCCGTCTCAAAAAAAAAAAAAAAAAGGGTAAGTGACTTTTCGAAGGTCACTCAGCAAATTCAAGTGTGAAAATAACAACATCCTGCCAGCCATGGTGGCTCACGCCTGTAATCCCAGCACTTCGGGAGCCTGAGGCGGGTGGATCAACTGAGGTCGGGAGTTCAAGATCACCCTGACCAACATGGAGAAACCCCATCTCTACTAAAAATATAGAATTAGCCAGGCATGGTGGCGCATGCCTGTAGTCCCAGCTACTCAGGAGGCTGAGGCAGAAGAATTGCTTGAACCCAGGAGGTGGAGGTTGCAATGAGCCGAGATTGCACCATTGCACTCCAGCCTGAGCAACAAGAGTGAAACTCCATCTCAAAAAAAATAAAATAAAATAACAATATCCAGTGCCGAAACTGGCACTTTGTAAATGCTAGTGATCATGCAAATTAGCAAAGCCCCTTTGGGGCCGGGCATGGTGGCTCATGCCTATAATCCTAGCACTTTGGGAAGCTGAGATAGGAAGATCACTTGAGCTCAGGAGTTTGAGACCAGTCAGGGCAATATAGTGAGACCCCTGTCTCTATAAAAAATTTGAAAATTAGCTGGGCATGGTGATGTGCACCTGTAGTCCCAGCTACTCAGGGGCTGAGCTGGGAAGATCTCCTGAGCCTGGAAAGTCGAGGCTGCAGTGAGCCATGATCACGCCACTGCACTCCAGCCTGGTCTACAGAATGAGACCCTGTCTCAAAAAGCAAAACAAACAAAAAGCAAAGCCCTTTTGGAAAGCAGTAATAATTCGTAAGTAACAACTTGGCAAGATTATAAGTAGTACTTAGAATAGTACCTAACACAATAGGTGTTCAATTATTATTGAATGAATAATAATTATAGCAAGGTAAGAATAGTGGCTAACATATCAAATGCTTACTCTGTTCTAAGCTCTTTATGTGTTTCAGTTTATTTAATTCTCATATCAACACTATTGCCAATCTCAATTTTATAGATGAGGAAACTTGAGGAGAGAGAAAAAAAGTAATTGGCTCAAGGCAAGCAGAGAGGCCAGCATCTGCCCAGGCCCTCTGACTTCAGAGCCCCTTCCTGACAAGGTTGAACTCTCTGTCACATAAATATCCAGAATCCTAATCTGTTCACCCCTGCTGATCCAGTAACACCCTTCCAAGAATCTGCCTGCAAGGATATAATCAGCAAGAAGACAGCAGCTTCCTCTAACCCAAAGATGTCCCTTGCAGTGGTGTTTATAATAGACAAACCTTAGAAGAGACTTGAGTGTCCAGCATTAGGGACTGGGTAAATGAGTTTTGCTATGCCCATTATAGAGAATGTTTCATAGCCATTAAGCAGAAATTGTGGATACTGTAGAGCAACCTGGAATATTTAAGGAGAAAGACGTTTCCTAAATGACATGCAGATTGACTAGTCAATAGCGAGCTTGTCAACCTGGAATCAAAGACTTGATGGGCATAAAGAAAACCTGTCAGGCGAGTTACAATGGCTCCCGCCTATAATCCCAGCACTTTGGGAGGCTGAGGCAGGTGGATCACAAGGTCAGGAGATCAAGACCATCCTGGCCAATGTGGTGAAACCCCATCTCTACTAAAATACAAAAAACTAGCTGGGCGTGGTGGCTTGTACCTGAAGTCCTAGCTACTTGGGAGGCTGAGGCAGGGGAATCGCTTGAACCAGGGAGGCAGAGGTTGCAGTGAGCCGAGATCGCACCCTTCTCTCCAGCCTAGCGACAGAGTGAGACTCCCCTGGCAGTGCCTTCAGGGAGTGATGGTGGGTGCTGGTTCTTCTTCCTGCAGACTTTTTGAAGGCTGCCTTTTAAATGTGGAAAAATAAGAGGAATTGAGCCAAGAGTCGGGGCATCTGATTGGGTTTATGGGTGACCTTGGGCAAGTCACTGTCCTCTGGGCTTCATTTCTGTCCTCTCCAAGAAGACTGGTTGGACCAGCTGCTTGGATGTCTCTTCCAGCATGAAGAAACCATATACTGGGTGCCAAAGAAGCTGCCCATCAAACTGGTGCTCCAGGGAGAGGGAGAGGTGAGGCCAGGAGTGGGCTCGTGGCTCCCGTTACTCACTAGGACTCAGCTTCTACTGGCATAACAGTGCCTGTTGGGCAGATCACTTCCCCCATCCTGGTCAGAGATACTGTGACCGCTATAACGCTAAGTGGGACGTGGTGGAGAGTAGACATTCAGAAAGCTCATGTATACTCTAGAGATTTTCAAATGTATGCATAATAGTTGCAGTTTTGTAACAACTAAAAACAAAAACATTTACAAGTTATAAAAGTAACATGTCATAGTTGTAACATAAAGAAGTGTTACACTCCCTCTACCCCTTTCCTGTCCCACTGCTGACAGTTTGGAGAACACCCTTTCACTCTTTTCCCTGCTCATGCAAACACATGTATATATCCTTTTCCCTTCTAACCATAATGAGATTTTGCTTTATACTTTATTCTGCAACCTGCTTGTTTTCCTTTAGAGTATATCATACAGTGGGGCATGATGGCTCACACATGTCATTCCAGCACTTTGGGAGGCCAAGGCAGGAGGATCAAAATAAGAAGAAAAAAATGGAATATATTATAGATATCTCTCCATGTCGGTACATATAAAGCATTGTTTCTGTTAAGGGCTACTTAACCTTCCATGGTAAGAAGTACTATCATGGATTCAGCTGTTCCTGTTTGACTGAAGAGTCAGCCTATTTCTGGTATTTTGCTATCACAAAGAGTATTTTAGCAAGTATGTATATGATATAGGCAGAGAGACAGATCCACACATGCACACTTAATAAGAGAAGGAGAGAGAGATTGAGATTGCTGCATTCTGGGAGTTTTATTTCTGCAGGTTTAGTTTATCCAATGTGGCATCTCTGTGTTAAAAGAGGTAACCATCTAAATCCTTCCTTGAAACGTTTGCGCATCACATACGTTTTCTACCAACAGATACTAGGAGTACAGTTTGGGGGATTGTGAGATGCGTTGACCCTGCATAGGGGTTTTCATGCTGGCCTGGACAAGCCTGGGGCTCAGAGGAGAGGGCATTCTAAGGGAGGAACTGCCCAGCCTGCCTGCCTCTGTCTGGGGAGATAGGGAAGGAAACGTTGAAGCTACCGTGTAGAGCATGCTTATTTTCTACTTTGTCTCCTAATGTGTACTTTGAACCTGGTTTGGAAGCAGCTCCTCCACATAGTGGATAGCACACTTTCCACACCAAGGCCTAGCAGTCAGGAGACTCATCTTGGAATGCCAAAACACAAACTGTTCAAGTAGGCCCTCTGGGGCACCTCTCTTGTGTTATAGATGGGGAAACCGAGGCCCAGAGAGGGGAAGGACTAGCCCAGGGTCACCCAGCAAGTTGGTGCCACAACTGAGTCCCCAAGGAGCCTGCCAACTCCCAAGCTGCTATCAGGGCCATTTATTTGGTATCTAATGGGTGAGGGGCACAAGGTCAGGCCCTGCCTGGAATTATATCTCCTCTGCATCTGGGAAAACGTCTGTTACCTCCTCTGGGACTCAAGTTTTCCTGTCTGGATAAACCTTTGTCCCAGGGCTGCCAAGAAGTCCAGAGATCACAGAAAGAATTAAGTGTACATGATGGAAGCAAGGGGTGAGGGGGGGTGAGGTGGGCAGCATTTGGGGCAGACTTCCTTGAGGCCTGAGGGCCATGTGGAGCTTGCCCAGGTGAGCTCATTCTTCCGTTTGCTCCCAGCTGGTATTCCCTCTGGAATGGTTTCCACTCAGCAAGCCCAGTGTGGGGGACTACTTCCACATGGCCTACAACGTCATCACGCCCTTTCTCCTGCTCAAGGTATGTGCCCCACGGCCCCCACTCTCTCCTGTCATCCTCATTCTTTGCACACCTGGCAGGAAGGTGATGCTAAGCCCTGTGTGCTGATTCAAGCATGCTCCTGCCTGCTGCTGCGGGGTGCAGGCTGTGACAGAGCGGCATATCCAGGGCCTGGGGCCTGAGGCAGAGCTGCCTGTGGCCGGGAAGGATGGAAAAGGCCCCCCCCAAAGAAGGGCTTTTGATTTGGGCCTCAGCCTGGCGTGCCAGCGTGGGGAAGCAGAGAGGTGTACAGATACAAGGACCTGAAGACAAGGCTGTGCTTGGGAAACCCTAAAACATTTGGGGAAGCTGAGGCAGGGGTGAATAGGGGTCCAGGGAGAGGTCAGGGGCCCACTGGGAAGACAGGAAGTAGCCAGGTGGCAGGAGAGGCGGCACCAGCAGCTGAACTCCATCCTCCACCCTGGAGAGCCCTGAGACGTCACTGGGAGCACAGAGCAGGGACTGCTGGCTTAGTACTCTGCCAAGTAAGGGCTTTAAAACTACTATAGGTTGAGCATCTTTAATCCAAAAATCTCAAATCCAAAATGCTCCAAAGTATGAAACCTTTTAAGCACTGGCATGATACCACAAGTGGAAAATTTAGCCAGGCACGGTGGCTCGCTCCTGTAATCCCAGCACTTTGGGAAGCCGAGGCAGGCGGATCAATTGAGGTCAGGAGTTCGAGACCAGCCTGGCCAACATGGTGAAACTCCATTTCCATTAAAAACACACAAAAAAACTGGCCAGGTGCGGTGGCTCATGCCTATAATTCCAGCACTTTGGGAGGCTAAGACGGGCGGATCACCTGAGGTCAGGAGTTGGAGACCAGCCTGGCCAACATGGTGAAACCCCGTCTCTACTAAAAATACACAAAAAAATTAGCTGAGCATGCTGGCAGGCGCCTGTAGTCCCAGCCACTCGGGAAGCTGAGGCAGGAGAATCACTTGAACCCGGGAGGTAGAGGTTACAGTGAGCCAGGATCATGCCATTGCATTCTATCTGGGCAACGGAGTGGGACTCCATCTCAGAAAAACAAAAACAAAAACTTAGTCCCAGGAACAGTGGCTCACGTCTATATTCCCAGCACTTTGGAAGGCTTAGGCAGGCAGATCACCTGAGGTCAGGAGTTCAAGACCAGCCCTGCCAACGTGGCAAAACCCTGTCTCCAATAAAAATACAAAAAACATTAGCCAGGCATGTTGGTGCATCGTCCCAGCTGCTTGAGAGGCTAAGGCAGGAGAATCTCTTGAACCCAGCAGGTGGAGGTTGCAGTGAGCTGAGATTACACCACTGCACTCCAGCCTGGGGGACAGAGTTAGACTCTGTCTCAAAAAAGAAAATTCCACGCATAAGTACTTATCACAAACTTTGTTTCATGTATAAAATTATTAACATATTATATAAAATTACCTTCAGCCTATGTGTATAAGGCATGTATGAAATATAAACAAATTTTTCCAGGCATGATGGCTCACGCCTGTAATCCCAGTACTTTGGGAGGCTGATGCAGGAGGATTGCTTGAAACCAGGAGTTTGAGACCAGCGTGGGCAACAGTGAGACCCCATCTCTACAAAAATTTAAAAATGAGCTCGGCATAGTGTTGCATACCTGTAGTCCCAGCGGCTCTGGAGGCTGAGGGGGGGAGGATCTCTTGAGCCACTACACTCCAGCCCGAGTGACAGAGCGAGTCCCTGTCCCAAAGAAAAAAGAAACAAATGAATTTCATGTTTAGACTTGCATATGCATTCCCAAGACATCTCATTGTTTATATGCAAATATTCCAAAATCCGAAATCTGAAACATTTCAGATGAAGGATACTCAGCCTGTATCACCATCTACTGTCACCATCATTTTGTACTGACAGATATTTCAAATCTCCAGAAACAGGAGGGGTATAATCTCAGAACTCCAGTGTGTTCTCAGTCAAATAGTAGCATTTTCTCAGTTAAATAGCTGACATTTTCTTCATGTTTGCTGTGGACCAGTCACTCGGAAATCAGAGGGTCCCTTCAGCAGGATGGGCCAGCCACCCAGGGACACAGCCAGGGCTGTCCCCTCCAGTTTACAGCTCATGCTTGACCTTGTGCAAGGAGTTTGGCCCTCTGGATATTTTTCCTCCCTGGGTAAAGTGGGGTAGTGCTGCTCCCTAGCCCCTCCTGGGTTCATAGGTGCCACGGGAGGATCTGGAGTCTGGGCTGGCCTGCTAAAACGGACCCACCACTTTTCCGAGTGGCTTTCCAGCTGGAAGGGTCCATCCCACCCCAGGTGTGAGGCGGGAAGCAGAGGGTGTCATATACTATGATGGAGGTGGGGTCATGCTGGCAACCCCACTCTGAACCCCAGCTCATCGAGCGGTCCCCCCGCACCCTGCCTCGCTCCATCATCTACGTCAGCATCATCGTCTTCATCATGGGTGCCAGCATCCACCTGGTGGGCGACTCTGTCAATCACCGCCTGCTCTTCAGTGGCTACCAGCACCACCTGTCTGTCCGTGAGAACCCGATCATCAAGAATCTCAAACCGGAGACGCTGGTGAGGCCACCTCCTGCTCCCTGCCTGTAAGCCCTTGGGGAACAGTCTGCCCTGGGAGGCTGAAGAAATTGCCCCCACCCCTCGCCGCACCTGTCCTTCCACTAAAGGCATTCTGCTAGGTGAGGGCACTCACCTGGCCAAGCTAGGATGCTCAAGGGTTCTTAGAAAGTGGTGCACAGACTGGCACCTGCCTGGGCCTAACAGAGGGCAAGGCCAGGGGTAGGGGACCAGGCAGTGGGTGAGGCCTGGGACTGGAGGAGGGTGGTCGGAGGGGATACTTGGGGCCCCAGCACCTCCCTGGACTGACAATGGCATCCCTCTCCCACTCTGCCCTGCCCGTGCCTCCCTCAGATCGACTCCTTTGAGCTGCTCTACTATTATGATGAGTACCTGGGCCACTGCATGTGGTGAGTGATGGGCTTGTCTGTCTATCCCAGGGGCCCCAGCCACAGGCCAGCTCCGTCACTGGCCTCAGGGACACACTGGGCAAGGCTGTCTAGGCCGCAGGTCTCCATGTGCCGAGTCTCATCCCCTGGAAAGGGCTGTGGGCTCAGCCTCCAGTGAGATTGTTCCTTGAGGTTGCCCTGGAGACCCAGCTGCAGTCCCAGGCCCTGGGCCCCCGGCTTCTCGCCTGCATCGCCGCCCCCGCCCAGCCCTCAGTGCCTGCAGCGGCCAGCAGAGGTCAGCGAGCGGCTGTGGTCCTCCCTCGCCAAGCCTGAGCACAGAGGGTGGGGGAGGAGGACGTGTCCCTGATAAACAACCCCAGATGGCGATGCAGGGGGTGGGGGCGGAGCCAGGGACCCCCGACCCGTGTCTGGCCTGCTTTTTGGGAGTGGAGGAAGCTGGGGGGAGCCAGCTGGATTAGGCTGGGGAGGGGCATGCTGTTAGCGTTCCCCCCTCCTCAGAACTCCCAGGGGAGCGCCTTTTCCCACCTACCCTGTTCCCTGCAGTCGGGGGAGACCTCAGAAATGTGGCCTCAGCCTCAGGAGATCCCAGGCCCAGACTGGGAGGCTTCATCTGTTCCAGCCTCCCATCTTACCCAGGAGAAACTGAGGCCAGAGGGAGGAGGGCTCCGAGGGTCACAGCTGGGAGTTGAGGGCCAGCCCTGGAGCTGGTGCTGACGCCACGTGCACCCCGCGCGGGCCCTTCCAGGGTTTTTAAGGCCCTGCAAAGTCAATCCTCCTGGCTCAGCTGGTCCAGGGTCCCTGGACAGGCCCCCTGCTATCTTTCCCTCGCGTTTGCCAGAGGCTTTTCCCACGGAAGGTTGGGGAAGGGTGGAGAGGCTAAGAACGGCGAGCTGGAGCTCCAGCAGGAAGCAGGTCCGGGTGAGAAGAGGCAAGTAGGTATACAGGTGAAAGTCAGCACAGGTGGGAGCAAGGGAACCAGCGTGTGGAGAGGGGAGAGGGTGGCATTTTGGGGTGAGATGTCCGGGGCGGGGGTGGGGCGCTTCACTGAGAGGCCCCCACAGGTGCTGTTCTTTTTTTTTTTTTTTTTTGAGACAGAGCTTCGCTCTTGTTGCCCAGGCTGGAGCGCAGTAATGTGATCTCAGCTCACCGCAACCTCCGCCTCCCAGGTTCAAGCAATTCCCCTGACTCAGCCTCCTGAGCAGCTGGGATTACAAGCGCGCGCCGCCATGCCCAGCTACTTTTGTATTTTTTGTAGAGACAGGATGTCACCATGTTGGTCAGGCTGGTCTCAAACTCCCAACCTCAGGTGATCCGCCAGCCTCAGCCACCCAGTGTGCTGGGATTACAGGCGTGAGGCACTGCGCCTGGCCTGTTCTCTTTTTTTTAACATTCAGACCTCCATCCTCTCCATCCTCCATCCCCTCAGGCACCTCACCCCAGAGGTGCCTCTGTCTCCAGGCTGGTGTGGGGCTGGGCCGCTGGTGTCTGTGGTGCATGAGACACACTCCCCCGCAGACACTCCCTTCCCCCCACAGAGCTAGTGAGGTTCCCTGGGCGGTGTGGATGCCTCTGGGCCTCTGACTCACACGTGCCTTGCCTTCCTGTGTCTGTCCCATCTTTGACACCCAGCACGGGCAAGGTCAGGTGGAGAGGAGCGCCTCTCACCCAGGCCGGGCATTTGTAAACCATGACGTGGCACTCCATGGGACCCTATGGGAGCTGGTGCAGAGGCAGCGGGGAAGAGGGCCGAGAGCAGGCCTCTAAGGCACTGGCCTTCCCCCCACAGGTACATCCCCTTCTTCCTCATCCTCTTCATGTACTTCAGCGGCTGCTTTACTGCTTCTAAAGCCGCGAGCTTGATGCCAGGGCCTGCCCTGCTCCTGGTGGCACCCAGTGGCCTGTACTACTGGTGAGTGGATGTCGGCAGCAGGGGGGCAGAGGCAGAGGCACTGAGCGAGCCACCGCAGCAGAATTCTGCACTTGCAGAATCGTGGGGCCCCGGCAGGGGGCGGGGAGACTGGCCCTCTCTGGGTCCCTGCTTCCTCTAGTGTCTAGTGGGGACCGTGACAGCGCCCTGTGGTAGCCTCTGCTTCCAGGAAGCCCAGGCCTAGGGGTGGCAGGGAGGTGGGAGGAGAGGGTGAGGTGCGCAGTCTCTGCATCCTCAAGCCCCCCTCTCTCTGCGCCCCGTGTAGGAACCCCAGTGCTGCTCTGAAGCTGGGACAGTCCCCCACTAACACCAAGCCCTGTGATGGGCCACGGTTTCTGCCTCAGTGAAATGGGGATGATGATACCTGCCTGTCTCCCTCTCAGACGATGAAGATGCTGAGGGGAGAGAGGGACTTTGTCAAATGTAAAGCACTGTGGAGAGGCCAAAGACAGATGGGGGTTCATGGCATAGGGGCTCCTGGCCTGGGGCTCTCTCTTCTTCCCATCGCAGAGGACTCAGGCCTCAGCCAGTCTCCTGTCCCTCCTCTGTCACTTCTGCCCTGGAGACAGGTCACCCTGGGGTTGTGGGTATCATGGGAAGGACCGGGTTGGGGCAGGACTGGGCCCTTCTCTGATGGGAGGCCTCCCTCAAAATGAACCGGGCCTCCTTTCCTGGCCCATCTCTAGCCCCTCTCTGGCCTGCCCCTGTGTGGCTGAGACACCCACCGGGGCTCATCTGTATGCTCCCTGGGGATTAAAAAGAATGGGAGACCGGGCACGGTGGCACATGCCGGTAATCCCAGCACTTTGGGAGGCTGAGGCAGGCGGATCACCTGAGGCCGGAAGTTCGAGACCAGCCTGACCAACATGGAGAAACCCCATCTCTACTAAAAATACAAAATTAGCCGGGTGTGGTGGTGCATGCCTGTCATCCCAGCTACTTGGGAGGCAGAGGTTGCAGGAGCCAAGATCACGCCATTGCACTCCAGCGTCTCATTAAAAAGAAAAAAGAATGGGTGTCAGCTACAGTGAGAAGGAAAGACGTTAGAGAGCTTCCTGCCCGTGTTACCCATGGCGTACTGGCGCGGGGGTGGCTGCAGTGGGAGTGGCAATTGTTCGTTGCTTTCTCCCCTAGTCAGTTTTTGTCATGTGGAAATACAAACTTAATGTGACCAGGAAAGCCAGAAATACACATTTGCAGGTTATTTAAATATTGGCAACAAACTCAACATGTAAAAAACAGTAACTGTGGCAGCTAAATTAATACGCCGCCCCTGGACTGCGGCTGAGAGCAGTGCAGTTCACCAAGCGCTGGCACCAGAGGACTCTTCTGCCAGGGAGGGATGCCGGGCAGGACAGGGCTGCCGCGGCCACTGCCTCACCCACCCCTGCCCTCTCCAGGTACCTGGTCACCGAGGGCCAGATCTTCATCCTCTTCATCTTCACCTTCTTCGCCATGCTGGCCCTCGTCCTGCACCAGCAGCGCAAACGCCTCTTCCTGGACAGCAACGGCCTCTTCCTCCTCTCCTCCTTCGCACTCACCCTCTTGCTTGTGGCGCTGTGGGTCGCCTGGCTGTGGAATGACCCTGTGCTCAGGAAGAAATACCCGGGTGTCATCTACGTCCCTGAGCCTTGGGCTTTCTACACCCTTCACGTCAGCAGTCGGCACTGAGTCTCTGCTGGGTGGGAGGTGGGCCCTGGAGGGCATCCGAATACACGAGTGGGAGGGGTGTGGATGTGGATGTGCAACCAGAGACCAAGAGCATGGGCAGGTGTGCCTCATGTGCGTGGATTCGTGTGTGTGTGTGTGTGTCTTGTATGTGTGTGCAGAGTGCATCATTTTCAGACTCGACTATTGCAGTCAAGTTTCGAAAATCCGGGCCCTTGCCTCCTCTGCACCTGACCACACTCTCACGACTCAGGGCTGCTCTGCTCTTCCTGGTCATCTTCTGGTAGCTATGCAGGGGAGGTCTGGGTGGGGCAGAGGCCAGGAGGGGACCTAGTGTGTCATCCACCTACCACCTGGCTCATCCCTCAGGCCCACCCCGGCCCTACGTGACAGGTGACGTCAGCCTCCTGTGGCTGCTGAGCAAAGCGTTTGCCCTCTCTGGGCCTCATTTGCACTAGAAGAGCCTGTGGTCCCAAAGCAGGTCAGTAGGTTGGGGTTGCTGACACCCCTTGGGGGCAACTCTGGGACAGGTGAGTGGCTCTGTCCTGTCACTGCCCTCTCCCTGCATGGCGGCTGTGTGCGCGCCTGTGAGGTATGGAGCCAGCCCAGCCCCCAGAAGCCGCAGGCGCCGCCCACTCCCCTGGCGCTCCAGCTCTCCAGCTGACCCTCCCCTACCCGAAGCTCTGTCCGCCTGCTCCCACTCCAGGAGAACTGTGGCACGAGCTTCGGGCAGCCTGGCTGCAGGCTTTGAGCTGCCATGGAGGGCAGGGCTGTCCTCACGAGCACTGTTCCCGGGGCCCTGTTGAAGGGGTCGGACCACCTTGAGACAACCTTGCCTCCTCCAGAATCTCATGCCTCCTGCCACGGCCCTGCTCCCAGAGAAGGGAGGCCTCATTCTCAGCATGGTGTCCTTCCTGCCCCCCGCCCCGCCTTCTCCCAGGCATGGGGACAGGTGCCCTCACAGCAGAATGACCCATCGCCTCATCTGGCCAGCGCGGGCCCGTGTGTGCTCGTGTCTCTGGAGGGCCTGCCTTGCCTTTCCCGGGCCCTGTCTCCTCTCCTGTGCTCTCAGGGAGCCCCATGCACCGAACTCTCCTTCCCTGTTGGGGTCCCCCCAGTCCCTGGGTCAGCTGTGTCTACTGGCCCCCTTGGGTGGTGAGGGGTGTGAATAAAGGCTGATGTGTAGCCAAGCCTGGCTGGCGGCTGATTCTGGCTTTGGCTGTGAACTGGGCAGGCAGGAGGGGGTTCCATGGAGTCAGGAGAGACCAGCTGCTCCGGGCCCAGGCCAGAGCCAGAGGCTCCCCCTAGCAGCAGCCCCGGGCAGACCCCTCAGCCCTGATCTCGCCAAGAGCAGGCGCTCCCACTGCCACTCATGCCACTCAGTGGGAAGAGGCTCAAGGTGGGCCTCTTCTTGGTCAGTCCCAGCTCTTCAGAGAAGACTGACTGGGGTGGGCCGTGGACAGGAGACCGGGTCTGCAGGGCTGTCCCACGGGGCCTCCCCGCTGTGCCGCCAGCCCTGGTCCAGAGGCGGAAGCAGAGGGTGCCTGCCCCTGGGGGAAGGTGGAAGGTTGGCTAGTTGAAGGTTAGCACTTAGCCTCGGGGAAGTCATTTGACCCCTTGGGGCCTCCGCTCTCAATATTCAAAGGTCTCAGCCTCACCACACAGCCACCAGTGACTCACCAGGCTCATGTCACGAGACAACACGGAGGAAAAGCCGTGCTGGGCAGGAGACGACGCAAATCCCGCGTCCGGGTCCCCGGCCGGACCGGCACACCCGCTCGCTCCATCCCCGGCCTCCGGGATGCTGCCCTCTACGGGGCTGGGGGAACATTTCACAGGCAGGGGGGCCTGCACGTGGGCCTCAAGCTTATGCAATCGGGGGACCCTTGATAAGAAAATAGTCGAAACAGAATGGTCAGTAGAAACCAGGCATGAAAGTAAACACTTAGGAAAAGAAATCACAGCAGACTATCAGAGCCTTGGAGACTCGTGCCCCTCTTGGCCAAGATCTCTTTGGGAAGTTTCCTTGTTTTCCTAGAAATACTCCTCAATTGCAACCTGGCTTCACTCGACCTAGAAAACTAGGCCAGTGGTTCTTTTCTTTTTTTTTTTTTTTTTGAGCTAGAGTTTCGCTCTGTCACCCAGGCTGGAGTGCAGCGGTGTGATCTCGGCTCAGTGCAACCTCCACCACCTTGGTTCAAGTGATTCTCCTGCCTCAGCCTCCCAAGTAGCTGGGATTACAGGTGGGCACCACCACACCTGGCTGATTTTTTGTATTTTTAGTAGAGACGGGGTTTCACTGCTGGCCAGGCTGGTGTTGAACTCCTGACCTTGTGATCTACCCACAGCCTCCCAAAATGCTGGGATTACAGGCGTGAGCCGCTGTGTCCGGCCTGCCAGTGGTTCTTTAAGTTTGGCCTTGATGACTGGCTCCGGGATGGCAAAGGAAGAGGCAAATTCTACTCCACCCTGTCCCCCAAAATCAGAAACTCCAGGACAGGGCCCCGCCAGTGATTCTGATGCAGCCTCAAGTTTGGGAACCACCATTCTAGGCGCTGTCTGCTCAAAAGTGTGGTCCCCAGGCCTGCAGCCTCAGCTTCCCCCGGAGCCTGTGAGGAAGGCAGCATCCCGCCCCATGCAGACTTCCCAAATCTGCGTTAATGGGTTTTGTCGGCACCGCTCCAGTACCACCCTCAGTGCTCGCACTCCCGGCACAGGTGTGGGCCTCGCGGCGGTTTGCTGGGGCAGCCATCATTAAAATGCCACACACGGTGGCTTAAAGCAGTGGCTTCCCTCTTCTCAGCCCTGTCCTGGGGTTGGTGGGTGGGGGTGACTCAAACTCTGACAGGGAGGAGTTGAGTCCCCAGCCAAAATTCTCTGGGTCTAGAAACAGGTGTGAAGAGGTGACTCGGGGGACATGATTTGGGGAAAAAAGCACTTTTTTTTTTTTTAGTTTTTACTGTTTTAATTTTTTTCGCTCTGTTGCCCAGGCTGGAGTGCAGTGGCACGATCTCAGCTCACTGCAACCTCTGCCTCCCGGGTTCAAGCGATTCTCTTGCCTCAGCCTCCCGAGCAGCTGGGATTACAGGTGTGTGCCACCATGCCCAGGGGATTTTATTTGTATTTTTAGTAGAGGTGGGGTTTCACCATGCTGGCCACGCTGGTCTTGAATGCCTGACCTCGTGATCCATCTGCCTCAGCCTCCCAAAGTGCTGGGATTACAGGCGTGAGCCACCACGCCAGGCCGAAAAGCACACTTTCCACATGGAGGCGGTCAGGAAAGGAGCAGGGAAGCGAGAATGGAGCCCAGGCATCCCAGCTTGTCCATGTGCCTGTGTGAAAGTGGCACGACACCCCTCTTCCTCTGGGCAGTGCAGCCCCTGGCCAGCACCCACTCGCACCTGGGCTGGGGGCCTATTGTAGGGCACACCCGTGCGGCCACACCTGCTACTTGTGAGCCGGACCCTGGGTGTAGAGCCCCATTGACTTCAGCTGTGGACAAAGGCCTCATGCTCCAGAGAAATGGGATCTCAAGGGGAAGAACCCAGGGGAGCCTCGAAACCTGCCCGCATTTCCTCCTATGTGGGGGAGGGGAGTGGCATGAACCCCAAAAGGCTTGGGAGCCTCAGCAGCTTCTGTGGAAGGGGTAGGGGCTAAGGATGGGGAGAGGAAGGAAAGGAAAAAAGGGGCAGCCTTCCTGGCCAGGGTAACCGGCACTAAGAGGCCTCACCCCAAGCCCCTGAGAAGCCTGCGGTGGGGCCGGAGACTCAGCCTAGGCCCCTACCCCACCCTTAAATTCCCTGCAACTGACACAGGCTGGGAACCGGCTGTGCACCGGCCACTTGACTCTGCCAACAGCTCTGTAATTCAGCGGGTGAGGAAACTGAGGCACAGACAGAATGACTGGCCAGTCACTCAGCAAGTCAGCAGAGGGGAGGACTGAATGCCAGCCTGAGAGCACGGAAGCCTGTGTTCCCTGCAATACCGACCCCCCCGCCTGCGGGCCCCGCCGCCCATCTCTGAGTTGGGCCGAATTGGAAGGGTTCCCTTCCTCCTCCAAGATGGTGGGTGAGGAGCCTTCCATACGACAAGGCTGTAAAGTGCCCTACTCCAGCAGCAGCTTGATGGCGTCCCTGCTGAGTCCCAGGAGAGAGAGAGAGAGAGAGGGCCAAGGGCCCCCTCTCTGAGTTTCCCTGACCCCTTCCTGGAGTCCAGGGCTCCCAGGAAGAAACACTGGCATTTGTCCCTTTGCTTTGGCTTCTGGGGGAAGAGACCCCGAGCCCAGGGAGTGCCTTCTGCAGCCCCATTTCCTCAAAACTCCAACCCGACCAGGTGGCGGGGCATTGGCCGTGCTCAGGAAGCTGGAACCTGACCCTGATGGCGTGGGGCCCAGTCTCCATAGCAGCCGAGCATTTATTACCCGGGCCTCCACCCAGCTTGGCAGACTTTAGACTTGAGGCTGGAGGAAAGGGAACTGAGAACTCGGTTCTGGGAGCAGCAAGCCCACGGGTGGCAGCCGGGGCCCCAGGATGGTGAGTGAGGGTCTGTGTCCGCCTGGCCAGGGCGGGGGGCCTGAGCCTCAGATGGAGCCCTCCCCTGACAACTGTTTTCCTTTCTCTGCTGCAGGCCAAGTTTCTTTCCCAAGACCAAATTAACGGTAGGTTAGGTTTGTTCTTTAATTAGCAACTCAGCAAAATATGGGTCTCATTAGGCAATTTGTTCTGCCTATGTTTTCATGGTGGGAGGGAAGGTGGCTGGGGGAGAGCTGGGCCCACCCACGGGGTCGAGAGCTGCAGGGAGGCTGCCGTCGGTGGGGTAGGGGTCAGGGGTAAGCCTTCAAAATAGAAATATGGCTTTATACTTGTCAGAGTGATTTACAAGCCAGGGTGTCAACACAGAGCTCACTAGGTGTCCCTCCAGAACCTGACCAGTTGGATTTGGGGACTGAGGGAACTGGGGATGGAGAGAGACCGTTAAAGGTATGGCTAAGGCTCACACCTGTAATCCCAACACTTTGGGAGGCAGAGGCAGGCGGATCACAAAGTCAGGAGCTCAAGGCCAGCCTGACCAACATGGCGAAACCCCGTCTCTACTAAAAATACAAAAATTAGTCAGGCATGGTGGCATGTGCCTGTAATCCCAGCTACTCGGGAGGCTGAGGCAGGAAGGAGAATCGCTTGAATCTGGGAGGCGGAGGTTGCAGTGAGTGGAGATGATGCCACTGCACTCCTGCCTGGGTGACACAGCAAGACTCCATCTCAAAAAAAAAAAAACTCTGGCTGACAGGGAAGGAGGAGAGGCTTTGTAGTTGAGACAGAGCACAGAGGCCAGGTCTGCACTCTCCAGCAGGACGCATCTCTCTGGCCTCAGTCTCCTTATCTGTAAAATGGGGGGTCCACTGAGCCCCTCTGCCCTGGCACCAAGGCTGGTTTGGGCATGAACACCTTATTCCCTGGGTCCCCTACTCTGCCAGCCCCTGACCAGGCTTCAGTTTCACACCGTGCAGAGTTCTGTTTCCACAAGGTCAAGAGCAAAGAGTTGGGTTACAAAGAACTCTAGGGCCCAGACCTGGACGGGGGAGCCTCACGGCTGCAGCCCCCTGCACCTGCTCCTTGAGGATGTGACCCTGAACTCGTCCCAAGAGTGGACATCAGTGGGCTGAAAGGCCCCCTAGGAATCCCCATTCCTGCAGGTCCCTGGTGAAACGTTGCCTTCTCAATGAGTCCTTCGCTGGGACTGCAGATACAATTAGAGGCACCCTGTGATCCAGGGCAGGGGCCTGAGAGCCCAGCCAAGTGGGGTTAGGGTTTCCTGGGCCAGGGTTCCAGAGTTCTGAGTATTCCGAGCTTGGTCTAGAAGGGCAGGAATTGTGAGCTCCAAGCAGCACCTCCACGTAGACCCTTGGAACGCTTTATCCCAAGAGGAGGGCCAGGGCAGGAGCAGGGGCTTTTAAAACACAGGGCCTGGGGCAGCACCCTCTTGCCCAGATGTAAAGGTGATACTGAACAGCGGACTGAGGGCTGGAGTCCAGCTCTCAGCCTCAGCATCCTTCCACCCATGCCTGGTTTTGAGGCTCACTGACCCTCCCTCCTGGGACAGCCAAAGCTCCTAGACGGGAAGAAGGTAATTTCTCTTTGCATCCCAGTATCTGACACCAAGAAAGTGGCCGCCAATGTTAAATGAATGTGTGGAAGATTGGACGGGGTGACCTGGTGAAGTGGGAAGACAGGGGCTCTGGAGGCAGCAGCCCTGAGGCCTGATCACCCGTGAGCCTGTTTTCTCACCTGTGAAGCAGGGATCCACCACGTCACCAGGCTGCTATGAGCTAGGGACAGAGGGGGATAATGTCAGTTGCGTGCTGAACACTGGGCTGGGCACAGCCGGGTGTCACCCACATGTCGGGTGGGGCTGCCTCACTGCAGCTAGCAAGAGCCGTATTTTTAGAAACCTTGCATGCAGGATGTTAAAACCAGCCATTACTAAATAATGTAGGATCAAACAATGTTTCAATCCCTACATCTATCTATACAAAAAGAGAAAAAGCCCTATTGTGATCCACGGAGCTGGAGATTTGAAAGAAGTTTCAATTTAATGAATGTATTTGGTAGAAGGGTGAGAAATAGTTTAACAGTGGATCACATTAGCTTTAATGACCATTCATTCATTGGAAAAAGAATTGCACTCATTGGCATGCAGCTTCATCTGTCACACCATGGTTGAATCAAAACCATAGCTTGGCAGTGGATCTAAGAGTTGGCAAAACTTGGGCCGGGTGTGGTGGCTCACATCTGTAATCCCAGAACTTTGCGAGGCCAAGGCAGGTG